TTCATTTTTTGTCAAAGTAGTCATTTATCATGTTTTTGATTTAGACCTCCGCCACCGAAGACCGATCACGGAGACTTAGGACTGAACCTCAGCGAAAGTTCCGATGACGATGAGTGAACTTCCATGTTTATCTGAATATATCTTCTCTCGTATTAGTATTGTCAGTTCTAATTTAAAAAATATGATCTTGGGTTGGTGGCAGATTGTGCAAATAACCGTCTTTCTCTGGCTTCCCGTATACTGAAATCTCCGAGTATTGCAAATTTATTTTATGTTGTGTCAAGAACTGGCCAGATTTCTATGATGGTGATACATTTAAAAGGGTTATGGACGCATCGTTATTTTGTGTTTATATTTATGATTGGAGTACAAGTGGGATTTAAATAAAATTTGAAAGTAGTCGCTTTTGTGTATACAGATGTTTTGAGACATCTACTCTTATCATTTTTCAAGCGGGGAGAATGAAAAGAAAAAGTCCGGTTGTTAATATCTAAAACGAGAATTTTGCTTAACCGTTTTTTGAGACATGACGTCTCCATCCTTAAAACTTGTTGAAATGGATCGGCTGCCCGTACCGCTCACTATCAACTACATTCGATCGAAAGTCAGAGACGGTGAATCTATCCGTATTGGGAACAAAAACTTCTCAAAAGTAATCACATCCTTTTAGCCCACTCTTCGGTTGTTTTAGGAGAAAACTGTACTGATCTCATGTCATCAGTTCCTTTAAGGTCATATGCGTTGGACGGGTAGTGTCGTGTCGTCAGGTACGAACGCTCAATTTGTTGGAATATGTGGTAGTCGACTCCTCTGAAGGCACTACAGCTGGGAAGGAAATCTCAGTACTGTATCGTAAGGAGGTGACTTTGCCAATCAGTCATTCAATAGTTCTAGCTTCCGCATGTAGTTACCCATGGATCAGACGTTACACCTAGAGCATCCATACAAGCTATATCAAGAACAATCAATCAATCACGTAGTGGTACGAAAGCAAAGGGGAACCAGGCAAAATAGTTGACGAAACCACAAGCCTTCGGGAATGTTTCTACGTACAGAAAGGAGTCCCTTTGCAATTTTTCAGACCAAACTAGGTATAGTTTGTGGTCCTAAAAAAGGTCCATGGGACCATAATGCACCGACGTGTTAATTGACATTTGCGCTCTTGTGAGAAATGATATCAGTTTTTATTTGAATCAAATGACAAGGAGTTTTGCCTGTACGCTGGATACAAATAAGATCACTTAATATAGGAATCTATGGCTTAACTTTTGCCACTTGAGCGATAATGAATTTTTTGTGCTGTGACCCAAAATTTAATAATAATACGGGTGTTAAGACTTGTATTGAAAGTTAGATGAAGCCGTTAATCTTTTACCTCGACTTTCTCCTCACGTAAGATCTCAAAAAAACGGATGCTTATATGATAACCATTTCGTTTTAAAAGTTGCATTCAACTGAGCTAAAATCCTATTTAACAATAGCACTGTTGGATCAATCTTCTTCTTTGCGACATCGTTTAGTGCTATATTTTGTTCAATTATTGACTTAAACTCTGAATCCAGCAATATGGTATTCAAATGACTGAAGTTAAGCTAGTTTTATATAGTGGTGCATACACATCTGTATACACATCACAAGGAAAGTTCATCTATTTTGTGATGTGAGAATGTCGTGAACCGTGATTGCTACAAAGGTGAATATTTCAGCCATGTGTTCCAAACGAATCTGACCAGTTCCTTCCTAATATGCCTGTGTTCATCTCTGGAAAGCTCGTAAAATTCAAAGGTGCTGTGGCCATTCAGGCATCTTGTATGAGAAAGGTATCCTTTGTTTAGTCATCATCGTAAATTACCTACTCCTCAACTTATCCACATTAAGCTAATCTGCCCCGACGAGTACGATTGTGTAAAGATGGAAGCTTTTCTTGCTTTGCAGTATCATACCAAGGTAAAACTACATCAAATTTATTAATTATATACCCCAATGGCAATTTTTTTCACAGAATCCATCAGTACAGACTCCTATGCGACGTTCTATGCAAGGCTCTCCTCTCTCCACATTTGTTCGCTCCCCATGTACAACACCTTCGTCCACTACTACAACTCACACAACTCCCTCTTCTGCTCCTGCCAAGCGTCTCAACTCTTCAACTCCATCGAATCCCACTCCAAAAAGACCAAATGTTGCCGGCAGCTCCCTTCCTCGTAGGCCTTTGGACAGGAATGGAGCTGCTCCGAGAAGTTCGGGCGCGTCGATTCCTGCCTCTGAATCAAACAAGAAGAGAAGCGATGAGGTCACGGAAGGTGGGAGTCAGGACTCCTTTGAAGATGACGTGTTTGAAAGTTGATTTGTGTGGAGAAGCCATTTTGAAGACACTTTTTGACAGTTTTGACTTGTAGTCATATTTTGCCCTGAGATCTGTTCCCGTTGTTCTGTTCATGTTTTCTCAAA